AAGGTGTTACTGGTAGAAGCGTTGTCAAACACTGAATACCTGTGACACCATCATTGGTGAGCCCGACGTGATCTGGTACACCTAATTGCAACTGTGAGTCTGTTCCTTTTTGGGATTTTTATATATCATTGCCTTATTTTTTTTTTTAACTTTTTTAAACATTGTGATTTTTTTTTTCGTGTTTTTTCCTGGATATATATATTTTCCCCTTGTTCATTATCGTACTTCATAATTCATCATGACTGAACAGACACCTAAAGTACTCAAGCTTAAGACTTTGTCCCCGCCTTCGTTTCAACTCATGCCTTTCTGGCCCGACAACATCGAAGCCTGGTTTTGCTACGCAGAAGCCGACTTCTCCGAGCACGGCGTGATCGACACACGTGCACAATTCCTCGCAGTAGTCAAGGCACTACCGCGCGAATTCAACAGGTACGTAACACCTAGTATGTTTACTAGTGATGTTTCCGATCCTTACGAAATCTTAAAACGCTCGATTCTTAAACGAGGAGACCTAACCGATCGACAAAGGTTAGATCAACTCTTCAACAATATCGACCTGCAACACGGTTCTGCGACAGACATGTTGCAACGGATGAGAGAGGTTATAGGCCCAAGAACTTTCGACGAAGGCCTATTCAAACAACTCTTCTTGTCAAAACTTCCCCAACAGGTGCAAGCAGTTCTGGTATCGTTCCAGAACAACGCCTTAGACGAGCTAGCTGCATCTGCCGACCGCATATTAGAAATTACGAAATCTACTACCGAGGTATTTTCAGTCAAAGAAAAACCTCAAACGACTCAGAATGATATAAACGACTTATGTCACACACTCACGCGTTATCTTAGTCTTCGTAACGACCGTAAGAGATCGCGCACACCACGTAGAAGCATTTCTCGTAAGCGATCTGTCTCTAGACCACGAGAGACAGATAACCCAGACTGGTGCTGGTATCATAACCAGTATGGAAAGTTTTCCAGAAATTGCAGAAAACCCTGCAATTTTCCCAACACGAAACCGACTGATTCGAAAAACAATTCGGGAAACTTCCAAGCCGGCACGCGTTAACGGCAACCGTAGCCGGCGAACAAAGCCGTCTGTTATTCGTCACAGATGTGACAACGAGAGTTCGCTACCTCGTCGACACTGGCGCAGAAGTTAGCGTTCTCCCAGCGATTCCTAACGACCGACTACACGAATCGACCCTAAACTTACAGGCGGCAAACGGAAAACCGATCGCTACGTATGGCAAAAGGTACGTTTACCTTAACGTGGGTTTACGCAAACCCATCCACTGGATTTTCGTTGTTGCAGATGTTTCTATGCCAATCATTGGTATGGATCTTCTACAACACCACAACCTGATCATCGACACCCGCAAACGGAGGCTAGTAGACGGAAACACTAATTTGTCCGTTTGCGTAACTTCTTTTACTGGTTGTAGAGTATCCCCAGTCACAGTTAAACATATGATAGACCCACTCTATCAACCACTACTCGATAAGTACCCTGAGATACAACAAACTCAAACGAAACTACCGTGTGTAACCAGCAATGTTACACATCACATCACGACTACAGGACCACCTGTATTTTCTAAAGCACGCCGACTAGCTCCTGAAAAGCTAAGGTTAGCGAAAAACGAATTCGATCACATGATGGACTTAGGAATCATACGACCGTCAAGTAGCCCATATGCATCTCCGTTGCACATGGTCCCTAAAAAGGACAGCAACGATTGGCGTCCAACTGGTGACTATCGGCGATTGAACGCGAAAACCATTCCCGATCGTTACCCGTTGCCTCACATTCACGATTTGACAGCCACTTTGAAAGGTACAACTGTCTTTTCGAAAATCGACTTGGTTAAAGCGTATAACCAAATCCCTATGGCTACTGACGACATACCAAAAACAGCTATCATAACTCCTTTCGGACTCTATGAATTTTTGAGAATGCCTTTCGGTCTAAGGAATGCTGCTCAAACATTCCAAAGATTCATAGACGACGTTTTTCGAGGTCTCAACTTCGTACACGCGTATGTTGACGACTGTCTAATCGCAAGTCCGGACAGAGAAACACATCTCAAGCATCTGGATCTTGTTTTCGAACGACTTCAAAAACATGGCATAACTGTAAACGTTCAGAAATGCCAATTCGGAACCGACTCGTTAGACTTCCTAGGACACACTATCGATGCTCAAGGCATTCGACCTCTTAGGACCAAAGTGGCGGCCATTCTGGATTACCCAGAACCGACCACCGTCAAGCAATTACGCACGTTTAACGGCCTGGTAAGTTTCTATAGACGTTTCATACCGAAATGCGCATTACTTATGAAACCTCTAACCGACCAACTTCGTGGAAATGCGAAATCCATTAATTTGGACGACACCGCACGAAAAGCATTCTCCACAGTTAAGGAACTGATTGCTAAAGCAACAATGCTCGCACATCAGGACACCCGAGCACCCATTAGCATCGCAGTAGACGCATCCGACTCAGCAATCGGAGGAGTCTTACAACAATGGGTTAACAACTCCTGGCAACCCTTGGCATTTTTCTCTAGAAGGTTGCTAGACACCGAATCGAGGTACAGCACATTCGGTAGGGAACTCCTAGCTATGTATTGTGCTGTACGGCATTTCCAACACTACATCGAAGGTCGTGAATTCACTCTTTTCACGGACCATAAACCGCTCACTTTCTCGTTAAGCTCTCCTTCTGACAAGTACTCTCCCCGTGAGTCTCGACAACTGGACTACATTTCGCAGTTTACTTCAGATATTCAACACATCTCTGGAGCAAACAATGTAGTTGCAGACGCTTTATCTCGTATAACTTCCTTGAACAGTTTCCAAGGAATCGACCTTCTTAAACTCGCCGAGCTTCAAAAAGAAGACACTGATCTTCAGCACGAGTTATCGTCCACAACACTTAAACTACGCATCAAACAGATGGGAACAGGTAAGGGAACCTTACTTTGTGACACATCTACAGGTAGGGATCGCCCAATCGTGCCGAAACATTATCGACGCAATGTCTTCAACACATTGCACAAACTTTCGCATCCAGGTGTTCGTGCAACCATCAAGCTTATAGCAGAAAGGTTTTGCTGGCCTGGAATGAATAAAGACGTGAGGGAGTGGGCACGCTCCTGTGTAAGCTGCCAAAAATCTAAGGTTATCAGACACAACAAATGTCCCTTAGGCTCGTTTAAAACTCCCGATGCTCGTTTCGACCATGTTCATTTGGATTTGGTAGGACCTTTACCAGATTCAAATGGATACTCTTATCTCTTAACCTGCGTAGACCGTTTCACTCGATGGCCAGAAGCAGTACCTATCAAGGACATCACTGCTGAAACAGTGGCCCGCACCTTCGTCGAACGATGGGTAGCAAATTTCGGCTGCCCTTCAACCATCACTACAGACCGCGGACGTCAATTTGAATCTGATCTTTTCCGTCGTCTGACCACTCTTTTAGGAAGCACTCGCTTCCGAACGACCGCCTACCATCCACAAGCAAACGGGTTGGTAGAACGTTTTCACCGACAACTGAAAGCTTCGCTATCAGCTACAAACGTTTCACAGTGGACCGACGCTCTTCCACTCGTCTTACTAGGTATCCGCAATGCAGTGAAAGCTGACATTGGATACACTGCGTCTCAACTCGTTTATGGTACGACACTTCGACTTCCAGGAGAATTCGTGGATCCTTCATCCTCTTCAATGAACATGGATCTAACCTCCTACACGAACAGGCTTACAAACGCAATGCGTTCAGTTAAACCTGCTTCCACCCGACCTCAATCGACTGATGTTTTCGTTCAACCTGACTTACGATATAGTACACACGTTTTCGTTCGTCGAGACTCGCATCGACGACCCTTCGAATCAGCATACGAAGGACCCTTCAAAGTTCTTCAACGTGAATCTAAGTACTATATAGTCGATAAGAACGGAACCAACGATAGCATCAGTATCGATCGCTTAAAAGCAGCGTATTTAGAAGGAAATCCTATCTACGTGGATTTTCCTTCGGTACAATTGAACGACACGACTCCGACACTTATAATACCTCATCCGACAACCAACACACACGATGATACTTCGACAGTATCCGAAAATAAACTTAAAACGACGCGTTCTGGAAGAAGGGTGAGATTTCCAGAACATCTAAACGACTATTGCACGTAAGGCACTTCTCGACATTTTATATTATTTTTAAAAAAAAAAAAACAATTTTAATATGCTTATATATTTTTATTTCTATTTAAAAAAAAAACAAAACAAAAAAAACAATTTTTTTAACGCTATTACGTGTTCATGAGTTTATTTTCCTTTTTTTTTCCGCCGACATTGTGCTTTTACGCACATACGAGTGTATTTCGACATGCACTTACATTTTCTTTTTTCTTTTCCAGGACGGCTGGAAAAGAACGATGACGTTTATGAGGATCCGAAATTTTCCATGTACATTTTCTTTTTTTACTATGTTGTACCTCCGTCCCATATAGTAAGGAAAGACGACCAGACGCTGCTAAATTTAGTAAGCTATCAGAAGAGTGTTTACCAACGACAAACTCGTTGGGTTTAAACTTCTGGCTGGCCACGTCTTAGGGTCGTCACTGCCCCACTAGGGGGGGAGTGATCTGTAGCGGTAAATAAATCCCCAAAATAAATAGCACTAAGTTTTCGACATTGGATGCTGACCATATGTTTTAGTGGACTCACCTAGCTGAAGGCGCTCGGTCAGCCATCCGCACCAGATCACGTGTGGTAACGCCGTGCTCAACATCAACCGCAATCGCTAGCCAGATTAGATCAGAGAATTCCGATATATTGGTCATCGCCAAATATACTCTTCCGATCTCCTCGACTCTGTCTTTTGATTTCTCTGGGCGGGAACGAAATATATTAGAAGGTGTTACTGGTAGAAGCGTTGTCAAACACTGAATACCTGTGACATCATCAATAGCAAAACGAGCCTTTCAAACATGACGTAAGTTTGGTAATTTTTTTCTGAACAAACTTTATGATTAAAATATGCATTATTTTTTGTATAAAAGTAGTGTAGGCTTTTCAATCAGAATATATGTCATGATAAAACCATTTTCACCATAGTGTCAATTATTTACGATGACTAACTTTCTGTTAAAAATAAGACTTTGAAAGTGCCATACTTTTGTTACATGCGAATCATTACCATCTGTTTAAAAATATTTGTCGATAAAACCATGAATAACTGGAATAAAAACCGAGGTATGATAACTATTACAAAAAGTCCGTGTTGCATTATATGTGATATATTGAATATTACATGTCATTACATTGTATTGTATTACCCACTTTACTCTATTCGAATTACTTTGATGTTACTTCTTATTCTTATCTACTGGCTTATTATATTTTTTTATTTCAAGGATGCTACACTGCACTAGTAATATTGGTGTTTAAATATTATCAATTGAGTTGTTAGCAACAACTCTGAGAAATAAAGTAAATGTGATAGCTCTAAAAAATAAATGGATGTATGAACCTTAAATTGTTACATAAGTTACACCAGCATTAACTGCTGAAATCATTGCTAACACTAACTAACGTTGTCCTGCCAAAATAGAAAATAAGCTTTTACATTAAAACTAGGTTAATAATGTAATCCATTGGATTAACTCTTATTAGCTGAAGAGCTTAGTTTTCCGTTGGTACTATTTTGAAAAGTTAATATGTTATACGTTTTTTCTGTATGATAGCATAAACCAATAACTTACTCAAACAGAGACATGGAAACAAAGTTGGACTTTACAAATCTATTTACTAGGTAAAGATGCTTTAGTTCACGGGATTACGAGAAATTAGTAACTGTAAAAACTTAGGCATGAAAACTATAATAACGAAAGTGATAAAAAGGTAGCATTATAGTCGTCAGCTACAAGTTTTTGGATACAATAGTGAAAAACTGAACTGATGTGAGCATTTAGATAGATCCAAAAAACATTCCAGTTATACAATTTGAAAACTTGAGTGCCTCGATTTACAATTCGGACTTGAATAAAGATTAATACATGATTATGTTTCTATCACTTTCAGGCAGTATATGTTAATAACTTGGAGTTTTTATTATTATTTACCATGTTGCTGTTTAAATATGTCCCAGTACTGATGCCATAAAAATCAGGTAATAATGCTTGGTTGCCTCGTGTCTTTGTCAGTAACTCAAGTTTCTTTACCCTAGTTATATTATCCGTAGTCTCTGAATAAATGTTGTGTTTAATAGCCAGAGGTATTACATGGCTATGTATAGTAAAGTAGAAGTGATACTCAGAACTGTCATCCAGTGCTCAAAATGAATTATTTAGTCTACTGTACAGCTGTCTCTAGTTCTTCGACACTCCCTAGGTCCATATCTTTTCAATTTGATTAGCTTCACAATTATGTACATAGTTGGATGAGACGCATAAACAAGTGCATGCTGATGAATAAAGTGAGTTGGTAGATTTCGAGGTTCACAGTAATCCATATCTGTTTAAACAACTACTGACCTTTATGTCAAATGAAAGCACTTCTCAAAATGTTTGCTTTATTCAGTACACTATTAAGCGAACTGACTGGAAAGAATCTTATCGCCTTGGAAGTAATGGGTACAAATGTTTGCTCACTCCTACATGAATTTATTTATGGATCAAAAGAAACTAGTGAAAACATTTTGTGCAATCCTGACTTATTCATGATCATACCAAATGTCGGTGACTCATTAAAACTAGCCCATAAAATATTTGGAAATCCTGGTGGACCAAATTTCCATGGAGCAGCATTACTAAAGAACACAACATTGTGCGTTATACGACCACACGCAGTATCTGACGGTAATTTAGTTCATTTGTTTACGTAAAGTTAATGTATTTTAAATCGCGGTGGAGAAGGAAACGTGGATCCCAGGAAAGGAGTTAGTTAAGAACTAACTAGTTTGCAAATCACACTTTAATATGCACCTGGAGGACTGAAGGCCAAGTGTACATAATATGTAGATACTTTTTTCTTTCCCCACTAAATTTCAGTTGCGAGTGATTAAACCATTCACAAGAAGACAAACACCTCTGAGCAAGGATAAGAAACAGTATTAAATATCCGTTTATACATCATTAAACTTTGCAAAACCAATGTTTGAAGTGACACTTTGTTTCAGCCCAAACTACTCACTATGAATCGTGAAAACTTGTTTTAGAGGATTTTACAGGAATATTTACACAACAAATAAGGAGTCAAATGTTTCTGAAGTTTTCTTGACACAAGTAAAATATTTCGGCGAGATATTTATGATTAAAACATGAACCTCTAAAGTACGTCAAGTAACTGTTGTTACATAAAACTTTGAAAGAGCGAACGCACACTTTATAATACTGGTTTAAGGATTTTATTTCTAGGTGTACACTACTAATGGAATCATATATAACCTTTGGATCAATCCATTCATGTGAAAGTTAAACTTATTTAGAGCTGAGTTGATTTATTTAATACCATTACTACGTATTCTCGTTTATTATCTCGCAATTGAGGAAGTAAAAAAACCAGTAATACATTTTAATGTGATTTTATACCACTTTAGTTTAATGCTCAGTATTTTCAGTCTTTAAATGCTTATTGTCACAGTGTTTTACATTTTGGTGATTACAAAAACTGCATTGTATATTGTAGCTAACTCTTGTCAAGTTTAAATAATAATCCACAATTAAAAGAAAACATTCATCAGACATTATGTGTGGACCTAAATCCAATTTGACTGGTGAATAGCTAGGTTTCTTTTCAATTCAGAACTCTGTATCACAATCCGCAAGATAAATGACAAATTAATGTTCCATAGACCAGTCAATTTCAAGCGAAAAATGATAGGCTACGTTTCACGATTCATGCATGTAAACTCTTTGAATTCGTTCATGTTTACAACTTTACTAAGTGGTTGCAAATTCTGTTCATGTTGTAGGTCTTACTGGGAAAATTTGGAGTGCAATTACAGAAAAAGGATTTAATGTGACTGCAGCTAGTTTGCATCGTTTATCAAAAGCAGATTCAGCTGATTTTTTAGACGTCTATAAAGGTGTAGTACAAGAATATCCAGAAATGTTAGATCATCTGTCTTCAGGGCCCTGTATAGCATTGGAAATAGATATTCCGGACCCCAATGTAAATGTCCATCAAGCTTTCCGCGAGTTCGCTGGACCAATAGACCCAGTGAGTATTTTTTGCGAATATTATTTAGTGGATTTTTCTCACTGTTGATTAATAAATCCATTTATCACTTCTGTACTTTTTGACATCAATTATATGTGGTAGAATTAACAGTACATGACGCAACTCACTTATCGTTTCAGATCTGCGTCTTTCAATTTGCTTCAGATAAAATTTTAGTCTATAACTTACATGTGTGTTCGTGCTTACCAATAATGATGGTTATGATCTATTTTTGCCTCAAAGTAATTGACTTAATTCCTGACGAAAAAATAATTAATTAATAACACTATCACCAATTTCCTGAAATTGCAACTTATTAAAGTTCTAAATACATTTTTTCACTAACAGTTTATTATTTTTATGTCAAAAGCATGACTCAGTGTTTTAATCACTTGAAGTTTGTTATAAAGGACTAAATATTTGGTGAAGGACGAGTCAACATGAGAACGGAAGAAAAATATATCTCAAATCACAGATATCTAGAGTTATAAGTGAATCTCCCATAAAGGAAAGTCAGATAGAACAATCTATGAGATTGGAGGCAGCAATATGAATAGTTGACTTCAAGATAACTCACCCTCTGTTGATTTCTAAAGCAACCCTATGATAATGAAACAAGTCTGGTTAGTGGATATTGAATTTAGAATATACACTGTGACGAAACAAACAAGTTTTATTTCTCAATGAGAGCCTGATTGAACTTATGGACCATTCATATTTTAACTGTTTTGGATTTGTTTTCAGTAATTAGTTATGTATATGAACTGTCAAATCTACTCAAACGCCTGCAAATTTATTAATATTTAGCTTGTAGAAACGTTCATGATATCATTTACTTAGTGTTGACCTGAACTTCAGGGAAATCCCCAATTACTTAAAATCTACAGGTACGTATTGGTGGTGAGTTCCAAGAAGCGTATAAACTAGGTTCTTGATATTCCATCGAAATTATCAAGAAGAAATCTCTTTGGAAAGTTTATTTGTTGAAGTTGGTGTTTTTTTTCAACAGGAAATTGCAAAGTACTTACGACCGGATACACTAAGAGCTAGATTTGGAGTTAATAAAGTCAAGAATGCTATTCATTGTACTGACTTACTTGAGGATACTGAACGTGAAGTAAATACGTTATTTTATTTTATGTCTCATACATATTGATATTTAATTATTGTGATTATCAAATATCCCTTCAATATTTTATGGTAGTGATACTACTATTAATAATAACACGAAAGTTTTATCTGTATAGGATGTGAAATTTCTGATACTATCGTGAAAAAATATACTAAACTCTTATTTATTTTCATGTTAGTTGACTGTCAGTCGCTGACAAAGTAGCACTTAGCACAACTGTGCATCGGTTCAAACTCCAACACCTCAAGTCAGATATGTGTCAAAGGAAGGGAAACGATATCAACTGAAACGTAAGAAACCTGGTTCGAAAGAAATAAAATCAAGAAACAAAGTATGAAACGCCAGTAAAACTTAAGACTTCGGTCAAGAATGAATGCAACTACATTCGATTTTAAGCTATGCAATCTAACGACCCCAACAAACAATAAATACCAGTTAGAATTCTTCGATTTCGTCCATTTATTAAACTGAGCTTAAAATGAAAATGTTTGGTGAATTGAGGTGGAAGAAACAAAACAGACTGATGAACCACACATAACTAATTATAATAATTATGATTATAAACGCATTTGGATAGTTTAATAACTATTTTAAATCCCTTATTATTGAATAAGCTTCAAAAGATGAGAAATGTGATTTAACAGGTTTACGATGATTCTGATGATATTCAAACTAGATCTCTTATGGTTGAAAATTCAGAAATAATCAACAACTATTTGACTGTTTTAGATTTCTCACTACTAAGCATATTCTTTTCTTATAACACTTAGATAAGAATATATAGTTTTGTATGCAAATTATTTCCCGATTTTGAAAGAAAATTTTACCAGTCGAATTTGGTGTACGATAGGTCTGCTACTTAAAGGGTTAATACTGACTTAGCATCCGCTTCTTAGATCTCCAGGCTTCTTCTACACTTGAGCCTCGAAAGTAAGAAAATAGGGAAAAGTGAGAATTGGAGCTTTACTCTCAGGTCCCTTAATGTACAAGAAACAGAACTATTTACAGGTTGTGTGTGTCAGACTTTTACCTATGGAAACTTCTGCTTGTATAATTAAATTAAATAAGAGAGTAAGTAGTCAGCAAATTAGAATGTGACATTTATAATCCATTAGTTTTTTTAGAAGTCTTCGTGGTATATGTTGACTGGACGAAATGTTTTAACCATTTTTCTCGCTTTTGGAGACACTATCGGGAGATCCAAACAATACAATATGATCATTCAATCAATCATAAAAAGCTTAGAACTTGGCATATCTTAGCTCAAATTACCATACTTTATAAGTGCATTGATAACGAAGTGACAGGATGAAAAGCAATAAGGTCAAAATAATGAGTAATATTATGAAAAAGATACTATAAACTAAGCTCAGGTAATATAGTTCAAAAATAGTTTGTTGCAATATTATGCAATTTGTGCTGAAATTCCGCCAGTATATAGAATTCAATTAGAATTTCATGAATAATGGAAATAGACAAATTGTTCAAAATAAATCAAGTTTCAAAGAGGAGCATGCAAAAGAGGAAGGTAAAATGGAATAAGAATTATCAAAAGTAGAAGAACCACTTAAAATACCAAATTAGCGGTATAAACGGAAAATATATATATATATATATATATATATATATATATATATATATATATATATATATATATATATAGGGTCTATCGCAATAGATAGTTTTTAAGAATGATCAAGTATGCCTCAATCTACCTTTTACCAATACATACAACGCGAGAAAACATTGAATAAAAGTAGCAGATCATTTGAAATTACAGTGGGAAATTGATTTTAATGTTTTCTGGTCAAATGATTCATATTTCGTGATCAACCAATGTCAATATTATGTGGTCTGGATACCTAGATATACAATTACATTTCTATAAATCTGTGATTTTATCAAACTAAATTCTATAATATTTTCTGAATTTCTTGTAGGTTAACTACTTTTTCAATAATCTGGATAAGTAAAACAATGTTGAATATTTTTTTAAAAAAAGCACATAACACTGTAGAATTTGTGTGAATCCCATAATATTGAAGTAATCATCTTCTTTTGTACATTTTTTGTGTCGATCAAAACACGGACAACACCACATTTCAGTTAATGATCAATTCCAAAGTAATAAATAATATTGTTTTCCTAACAAAATAATTAAGAATTTTTTTTATCTATGCTCTTGTTATCTTAAGTGACTGAATTCATAATCTTCTTTTGCCCAATAAAACAAACAGAATAATTTTAGTATATACTGTACGGAATAAACGCTGAAAAATAACCGACTAATTCATTGAAATATCTTAGAATTTACTGAGACATCAATACAGACAATTTTTCTCTTGACACTTTACAAAGAACTGAAAATAAATATATGAGTACTAGAATTAGACGGCTATGCTAACAATGCCAATCACGGTACTGAGAAATGAGTGGAAAGTAGCTAGAACAACAAGAAACGAAGATCAAACGTGATTTTTTTTCAAAAATAAATACAGTGCATTGATACAAAACGGAAAAAAGTTAAGATTAGTAAGAAGGAAGATACTAAGAAACAGGTAAATAGAATAGACTTAGGTGAAGATAAAGTGTGACTTTGTGACTATGCTCGATTTGTGGCTAATAAATATATCTTATGGATCTTATTTAGAAAGACCATGTTACATGACATGGCTAGAATAAACCGATGGTATATAGTTAGCCAAGTTCGGATTATCTATAATACTAACAATTCGATCGAAACTGAGTTCTGTAGGTACAGAAAAGAAGAAACCCAAATGAAAACAACCACTACTCAGAATAATAAAGATGTCTTATATCGTCAGTTATTTCAAATAAAATCTTTCCATATGTAACATCAGTATTCTTTTTATTGAGATCGTAAACTGATAAATTTTAGACCACTAATGAAAACCTGGAATCGTTGGACGGCCGTTTCATCCTGGTATAGGACTCCTCAGCAGTGCGCGTCCACGGTGGAACTCCACTCGTCACAGCTTCTGACTAGAACTCCGAGAACCACCTTTCGGAACTAGTCACCAGTGAGCACATTGTATATAAGGTTGTGGAGATTGTTGACTTCGTATTATCATAAATCGAATATTGATCGGTTCACAACCCTAAACGGAAAATGAGCATTCATACGATGGTCTCCAATAACTAAACTATAAAAAGATCAGTTTACTAAAGCCATGAAGACCTTTTATATATGGAAGCAACATCATCTGTGGGTATATAAAGTATTCAATGTTAACGTTATAGAAAATTTTATCCAAAGGTGAGAGATTAGTAATTAGTATTAATACGTGAGATTGTGAAAAATGTACTGAACATTATATTTAAATTGAAACCGAAACTTCTACTAAAAGTGACAGTAAATAAACTTACAAGGATTTATCGACGTAAACACTGCTCCTCTAACTTAGTGAAAAGAATTTAGAAAGTGACTTAGCTTTAAAAATTGATCTAAAAATAGTTCACTTGTTTCTCATAAAAATAAAATTAGATTCATATGATTTCATGAAAGGGGAGTGTATTAATCAGTAGTTTTATGTTCACAAGATTAGTATTTGATGGTTTATACAACTAAATTTCCTTCTATTTTGATTCACACCAAGATATAACTTTAACGAACTCGAAAAATTGCAATGATATGGTCTGATGTCAAAGAACATACAGTTACTAGGAATTTGTAGTAGGTGTTAATATCACCATAACTCGTAAGTCATGGCGCCTAAATTGATACCATATTATAACTAGTCTTTAAACCATAAATAATTCCTAGACTAAAATCGAAACTAGACAAGCTACATATGGGGGGGGGTGCAACGTGATAATCTGCATATACATGCGAAAGGAATAAGGCTAACTAACACCCACCACACAACATTAAGATCTACCACTGTACTACATACTCAATCACATTTAGATCCACTGAGTGACTTGCATCAACGATATGTTTATTTGTGACACAGCTACGAAATCTAAACAAAATTTACTATCCACTTCTTTAGGATGACTAAAAATCTTCCAAGAGAAAAAAACAATCCCTTCCCAAATACATCCAACCCAATTATCTCATATTATAACAATAAAAACATCTCCCAAATGACGCTTCAAAAAAATGAAATGAGAGCTCTATGTTCATAAAAGGACAAAATAATTATGATCACCAAAACCAACAAAGAAATTACAACTGTTGATAAACTAAAAGTTTTAGGTATGGATGATAAACTTATTGATGAGGTAGTGAATTCCCATCGACTGACAGGAACGGGACATGTATCACGTATGTCCATCAACCGACTACCTTGAGGCATAATGATGGCTGCTGTAGAAGAAAGTTATAAAGCTACTTGGTAGCAAAACCAAGGTGTAGTATCACTCTATGAAGGCACAGAAGGTTGAACTGAGTTGTGTAAGTATATGTAGACTACTTGGTTGGGGGTTCACAAGATTATCGTAACCAGTGGTTAGAGTAGTCCGAAGACATACCCCAAAACCCTCTAGAATGGTGCACAGGCATTCACTATTTCCCTTCTTTAGTTCCTCAGTTTCTAAATTAATTTAGAAATTTGTTTCAACTCCACTAATTCAAATTTTCCACCTGCACTATTACCACTAATAGTTATTACCTCAACTACTCTACGATTTGCCTTGATGTTATCATACTGTGTTAGTAGGGTGTGAAGACTTATATCAAATTACACAAGTGTCAGGTTCTACGTTTCGTATGACCAACTGACTAGGGGGTAGTGATACAACCAAACTGTCTAACATAAAACATATGGGAGTGGGTTCGAACCTAGGGCTCAGTGTTTGAAAGTCGAGTCACCTCTATCTTTCAGATTGTGATTTAATTTTGATACACGTACCGTATATTGACGTTTATATGCACCGCAAAGCTTCCCAACTAGTAGACATGCTCACTCATTACGTAGTTCGAAATTCATTCTATTTGTACCAACATCAATCCATATCATTTGGTGAATGACACTCGCGCTTGAATAAAAACAGCAAGTAGCAGTTAATCTCTGAATGCCTCCTAGCGTGAGATACATTTAGTAAAATATTAAAAGCTATTATGCGAATTTAGATAAAAATATAACTAAGAATTTATAGAAGGCGATTACGAAGAATAAACCGTTGTAATTAATTACATATATCACTATATGGTAAAATGCAAATAATTAGTAGTATTACTGTTATAAAAATTTGTCTTGAATGAAATTTTATACAAGCGAACAAATGTGTTCGGTCAAACAAGATGAGAATATTAATGTGTACATGGCAGCATAAGAAATTAATTTTTTCTGAAAAACAGACCACGAAATAAGCTGTCACGGCGGGAACTAGGAAGGGAATTTTGAGAATTTAACTCAGCGTCAATTTTTTCAGAGCCTATTTTCCTTGACTCTTTTGCTTTAACCATAATTGAAGATCTCTGAAACATTTGACTTACAGCACGAAGTTTCGGTTTTTTCTGCTTTTTACCATGCTTTCTAGAGTAACCTTCATCAAAACCGCCAAGAAACGATCCGGATGGTGATCTGAATGAATGACGAACATCATCTGATGTACTGAAACCAAGACCTGCAGACTCCCAAACAGCACTACCGGTACGGCACTTAAGATTAGGAGTATTGCGGTTG